ATTCACATTTCCCACAAAACCAACGATTTTCATATAGAATGGAATTTAGAATCAGTGGCTTCTTCCCACGAGCTTAGGCTCATTGAGGCTGTGGAATTCGATCAGTCTGATTACAAAGGTTATGACACAAAGTATGGATTTGGCGGTGACAATAATTTCAATTGTTACCCTAGCAAAACCTACAAGTTTGGTCTTGATGCAAGAGGATCCGAGTCAGATGATGCCGAGTTGTCTGATAGTTCGTTGATGGCGCTGAGATACCATGAGTTGGCGGATCAGCGCAAAAATGGCAAGTTGATGAAATATGTATTTTAAAATGGTAAATCTCATAAATATAGTTAAAATTAATTATTGACTTTAATTTAAATTAAAATCTAGATTTTAAGCCTTATAAGGGCTTAGTATTAACATTATTCAATTTGTCCTTAGTTCCTAATATATTTATAAGGAATAATGTTTTGTAGTTGAAAGTGTGCATCGATTCTGAGGGAAAATTCCGTTGTTTTCCTTTCCGAAATCCCAATTTAAGTTATTTTTTTGCATTTTTTAGCAATATTTCATTTGCCTTTTTAACATAAATTACGAACTCGATTTGAGCTCGATTTTTGGGATATTATTTCTCTTATTACGTATGTTCTTTTGGTATGAATATTGAGATGTTGCTATTTTTGGTAAAATTTCGATAATTATGATTTTTTAGTTATTTAACCCGGCTTGTGGGTTATTTTCGGATATTAGATGAATAATAAAGACTTTTCTTGTTTTCTCTGTGTTTTCTCTTGCGTTCCTCTCTGTTAATCACCTGTCGAACTTCAGCCTGCAGAATAATCATTATTCTGTCATGCGTCAGTTGGTATCAGAGCATCGGCATCTTCCTCGGGTGAGATGTCATCAGTCCTACCATGGTTGGTGGTCGTCGCAGGTAGGTTTCGAACGAGGAAGTCCCCCATCGTGATCGTAACGTTCAGGATGTGATGATTGAAAATTTATAGAGGCAAGTTGCGGAATTAACTCAATATCTAGCGGCGCAGGATTTCGATGGTCGTGAACTGAAGGGTCACGATTCTGACACCAGTTTCAAAAATCCGTATCACAATCATGCTCGAGTATAGGAGCACCATGATGGGGAAGATCATTATGTAGACTCCGATTTCAGAGTAGATCTACCTGAGTTTTCTGGTACGTTACAAGCAAAAGGATTTGTTGATTGGTTGAATGAAGTTGAACGAATTTTTGAATATAAGGAAGTTCCAGATCGTGTCAAAGTAAGGCTAGTGGCCATCAGGCTCAAGGGCAGAGCATCTGCATGGTGGGAACAGTTAAGACATTCATGAAATAGGCAGGGTAAGGCCAAGATCACTGATTGGGAAAAGATGAAGAAGTAGATGAAATGTCACTTCCTTCCTTTCGGCTACACCCAAACCTTGTTTCAAAGGGTTTCTTCTCTGAGGCAAGGCATGAGATCGGTTGATGATTATACGAAAGAGTTCTATCAATTGATAGCCCGAAATGATCTACCTGAGATGGAAGAACAGATGGTGGCATGGTATTTGGGAGGGTTACGACAGCCCTTTCAGGATGTCCTCAGTCTTCACTCCCTGTGGACCGTTTCTGAAGCATACCATCATGCACTCACCGTGGAAAGGCAACAGAACAGGAGGCCAGTGATCAGAAGTGAAGGTAGTCAACCATTTCGCCCTCAAGCACCCCGTTATGCTCAACAGCCACCGTGAGATACTTCTAGCTCGGGTATTAGGTGTTTCAGATGTGGTGAATAGGGACATAGAGCAACTGATGCAGAAAACTAGCTAGTCGAACAGGTAAAAATCTCCTAATTGATG